AAGAATTTTGGTGCGATGAATCATCAACATCTTCATATATTTGTAATTCGTCATTAGTTTGCAATATGTCGCAGTTTTAAGTGGTTTTGCAACGTGTCAAGTTTGGAACGATTGAACTACAATAATTTATTAACAAATAATTTGATCACCATGTAAGGTTCTAATATTTACATTTTAGAAATTTTGATTAAGGCATTCCCTTCTCTTCCATCTGAACACTCATCGAACAGACGAAGAAGAAAAACTTTACAATAGGAGAAGCAGCATATGCAAATTTAAGTTATCTCTGACAGCGCAAGGAAAAGAAAAAAAAATACCTAGGTAACCATACAATTAGTAATATGTCTTTAATAAAGAAATATCATATTTTAAAATCATTGAAAATAGAAGCACCTATATTCCGAGCTGATCAGAAACATTCAACAAGAACAATTAACATGTCACACAAATGTGATAACTGCTTTAACAGAATCCTTTGATCTAAATTTTCTGTTGCCATTTATTTCTTCCTCGTAAACTTGAATATTGATTTGTTGAAAATTTCAAGAGCACTATGGTATGTTATCTTAGCTGTATTATAAGTCAGTCTATTTTAATACGAATTTCGTAACTAAATTTATAATATTTTTGCTTTGCTGAAACTGTTAGTGCACTGTCAGTTCAATTTAGTTAATAATGGATGAGGATACTTGGTTTTTACCATTGGTTAAATGGTATTATCTCACACCTCTCGTTAACTAGATTTTTTTCCATTAGAGTAACAAACGAGAGCGGTGACCTTTAGGTCCAGGAAAATTTATAACAAAAGCTTTTATGATGTCTTGACTCCCGCTAAGATCTTCTCTTTGATATGCCTCTGCTGATTTAAATGGGCAGCTGTATTTGTATAAAAAGAAATCATGGTGAATTATGTTATTTTATTATTAATTCGGGCCAACTGAATTATATTTCTATACATGCATTACAACAATTTTATTGTGAGAAACGAGATAGTAGAAGATTTAAGTTTAACTTTCCAGAATTTAAAATGGTCTTCAAATTACTGAATCGACACATTGATTGCTATAGCGCAAGGATGTGAGTGGATGCCTTACCTTCTTTTTCAACTTCAAAAGTGACTGGGAGAAATGAATGATCACCAGTCAACTTATCTTAGTTTATTGAAGACTTGTAGCCGTTTTAATTTGGGTGCTAACTTGAACGCTAGGTATCATAGAAAAGTTAACAGTATCTTGAGCCGGTGTCAAATTTGGGATTTTCGAAGTATAGAATTGCTACCCTCGCCATTTCACCATAATAAAACATAAAAAAAATGTTTTTAGATCCTTACAATTTTAACACAGAATTGACATAGAGGAAGACTGGTCAGCATAATCAAAACAGGTATGTTTCGGAATTTAAAAACGCCAAAAATTAATTGCATATAAATTAGAAATAAATGTATAATCTAATTTCTGCAATTAAATTTAGGTAAAGAAAAAGAGCTTTAATTCCAGTCTTATGTTAATTCCTCCGGAATTCTTGCGGAATAAGATTTCTTTTATCAGTTACATTCAATGCTATAAAAATTCAATAGACTTAAAACCTGTTACAGGATTTGAAAAACTCATTTAATTGTTTCATAATTCTAGTTTATTACTCACATATTTGAAGAATAACTTTGCGAGTATGTTGACTTACTATATCGTATTTGACATAAACTCTCTAATATATATTCTAATTTAACTTAGTTAAATGCTAATCCGCCCTATGTAAATGAATTTATTATGCTTTGCTAAACATGTCACGGTTATTTAATTGCTCGCTTAAAATAACGAATGTATTTACTTTACTCAAATGGATTGCTTTCCATAATGGAAATAACGAAATGAGGAATGACTGATATTATTCTTTAATTTTAATGTGAATAATTTGCTTTACCCCCCTTGATCCTCCTATCTTTATAAATTTACCTTCGCGTGCAGTAATTACAATATTTCTCCTATCAGTTTTAAATAATTTATTTACATCCAAGAAAGCAAATATTTTTGAAAGAGATTGTTATTTTAAATAATACTTGCTATTCTAATAGAGTTTCCTTATCTTTTACTTTCGGGATCTGCTTCGCTTCAAGATAAATTAAGTACGATATAAGTATGTCCATGATGCAATGTTCTTTGACACATATAACGCACATGTATTTAGAGAATTCTTGAATGGTAGACAGATTAGAAATAACAATAGCAGGCAAAATGTACGGAACAAAGTCTTAAACAGGTAGAGTACAATCTAATTTAGACAAGTAAACTCAACAGGAAAAGATGAAGAGTAATAACATTGAATGGGTGAATCCAAAAACTAGTAATATTCAGTTTTTTAAAAATATTTTTTTATTTAGTGCTTTAGAGGTAAATACTTATTTTATAATGTAAACAGCTGACTTTAAGCATGTTGACTTTCAGTTGTAAGGCAATTGTCTTCCATATAAATTATTCATTTAAAGGTAACACGAAATAGCTGTCCGTACGCAGCAGCAAGGAGAAGAGGAAGAAATAACTATACATACACACATACATATATACATACACATATACATATACACATACTATATACATACATACATTGTTTACTATGGTATGCATATATATATATATATATATATATATATATTTGCAGCAATTGCGCAAGTAGTAGTAACTTGTTTTCGCACTAAATGAATATCATACAACATTTATATATATAAATATATATATATATATACATATATATATGCATACCATAGTAAACAACTTAAATGTATAACTTTTACTAAACAGGGTGAGGATTTATTTATTTATTTTGACTAATAGTTAACTTTTTAGTTAAAGAAACTTCCCCTTTCCTCTCACTCTCCGTTTCACCCACACTTTCTTGCCAGATTGTAAATCAGTTACAGCGAGTATATTCGAATTAACGATAAAAGAAGTGCTATCTAAGCAAGGATTACGAAAGTTGATTTTAGCGCATGTTATTCCTGCTTAAAGGCCACGTTGTTACCATGACTTAATAGGGATTTGATTCTGTGGCGTTGAGTGCTTTCAGCCATTAGGCTTGTCCAGCCGACTTCTGCGAGCCAAAGCCTTTCTGCGTGTTTAAATTATCATGTGAGCCACTAGGCTAGTTTAATTGCATTAAAGTTTAAGTTCAACATTACTTGTTTAAGTTAAGCCAAAAGTATTATGTAAACCCAAGTGGGGTCGTCTGCAAACTCTTTGTGATCGAATAAAGAGTCATTTACATCCTTCTTCTGGCCTCGTCTGCATTATAAGACCAGAGGATAATTCCCCTATAGTCTTTCTACAGCTCGTTAGTTTATGCTACCAAAGAATACGACACTGTATAATGTATTTATTTTTTTACGATACTCTATAATGTATTTATTTTTTACGTACTCTATAATGCATTTATTTTTTATGATACTGTATAATGTATTTATTTTCTTACGATACTGTATAAAGTATTCTTTTTACTTTTAATGCTGAAAATAATCCCTATAAATTAAAAAAAAAGTGTTGTCAGAAAAAATTCAAGCCCAGTTTCTATAAAATTTGATCCGTCTGAATTATATAATTTAGATAAATTTTGCTCTGTTGTATAACGACCGCAGTGTAGATATTGTCATCCATTTCCTTTGCCTCGATTTAGAAAACTGTAAGATTACATGCAGAAAAACAGTCGTACTAATTCAGTTAAAATAGAACTCATTGGTAAAATAAAATTATATTCACTACTTATTTAATTATTGTAAATGAACACCTGATGGTATTAGAGCAAATCTAACATTCAAAAGTTTTGTGTATTGTTTAATATAAAATCTTTCAATTTAGAATTTGATTTTTAGAAAAAAATTATGGCATCATCAGTAAGAATAAGGACGAAATTAGAGTCGATGAGAATGCGGAAGAATCAACAAAATGGGGGGAGGAAGAAAGTACCAAGAAGCCAGGAAGAAGGTTCTGAATATCGCCAGCATAATTGCCATCCGTTATGCAACGAAGATAAAATTTAGCGCCATCTGTTGAGGGAAAAGATAAGTAAAGAAATCATAAATTAAACTGTTTAACGACCACCAGGAGGAGTTTTGTTTATAAAGAAACAATAAATATATTTAGGAGAGAGAAACCCATACGCCGAATAGTGTTTAACGAATTCTTAATCAGTATTTATAAGTGCCATGTACAGTAAAATATTTTTTTCAAATGGCGAACTGGATTTGTTTTAATACTCTCATGAAGATAAAAATATTTTGAGTGTATTAAAGATTTTAACTCGAATTCTTTTTTATTTTTAATCCTGTACATATTCACTTGATTTCTGGTGAATATCTCTTTTATGTTAAGTGGTATTAATAATTTATGATTTGAAGTCCGATATTTTCATCGTTGACAGTGGTTGGGCTAGACCTTTCTAGAAATTTTTCTCGTACACATTACATTATGAGAGCGCTCCTCAAGACGATTTATTTTTAAATGTAACGAATTCTTGAATTAACTGCTTTTCTAATCCAACTTTTCAACTTAGCAGGATCGAGTAAAGGCAGGACTCGATCCTGCTAATCCTGCATTATGTCAGAGCACGTCAAGTCAAATGAGATGTAAGAAATAGATGATAGTATTATATATTTTGGATATAAATAATCAGTATAAAGCGAAAACTTGAAAAGATAAAAAAAAAGTTTTTGCGGAATAACTATGAATTTAAAACTTACGTGGCTAGATTATATTTAAAATCGCGCTAATGAGAGCAATAAACGGTTTCTGTTTGACATCCAAATAATTACAAATAGAAGTTAGTTCCAGTGAGACATATAGATTGGCTACCTAATATATTGAGTAAATTATTACATACTTCACTTTATGAAAAATCTTGCATGTAAAACTGAAAAGTAATAAAATTCTTCACATTACAAAATGATTTGGGTTTCGAAGACAGCCATAAAAATTTGTGCTTTTTTTAAATAATTGAAAAAATTAGATTCTCACCATCTTCCATTGTCATAGCTACTACCGGATCAGATCTTGGACCTGCACCTTTCAAGTTGAAAGCCTGAACGACTACACTGTAGTGAGAAAATGCATTGAGTCCTCGCAAATCTGTTGTGACTCGTAGCTCTTTAGAGATCGGAAGATCCACGGTCTTATATTGGTAAGGTTCTGATGAATTAGCATCTTTGTAGCCTACGTAGTAACCCTTTATGTTTCCATTCCGCATGCGTTTTTCTGGAGGCTAAACAAATGACACACACAAAAAAAAGACATTTTATGAGCTTGTACCAATAAAGAATTATAGTTGATATTTTAAAATTTAATAATGAAAGTCCTTTGTAAGGTATTTTCTTATTTACAACTTTTTTCGAGTTATTCTCTCTTCAAATTGCAAGTTTTCGTAAAAAAGATATCGATATATATATATATATATCGCTTTCGTAAAAAAGTTATCTGATATATGTATATATGTATAAAGATAAAAAATATGTCAATCAAAATTATTATTTAAATTAGTAATAGCCTTTTAATTTGAGAAACTTTCGTCTTTGTTCTAAAATAAGTAACAACTTTTCTGGACTGCGTCATTTCTAGATCAATCCATACCGTATGACATTTATTTAAGGATGATGACGTGGCTAATTTCGGAACTTAAAATTTCGAGAACCGACACTTTTCTTTAAGCTACCATATTGGATAAGTGTGCACTTAGCTTTTACTTCTGTTCTCGCTAAGACGCTGCTCTCTTCCTATCGCAGTGCCAAAAATGTAAATGTTATTGAACAGGCATGATTAGAGTACTAAGTGAATTGTGGCCCCAAATGTCCATTGAAATAAAGATTAATTCTGCCTCAGCTGCCAATTTCGCTCTTAATTATGGATCAAAATTTTATGTATCTGTGCTATCAATATTTATTTCTACAACAATATTTATATATATATGTAAAAATATAAAAAATATGATAGCTTTGCTCTACGCGAACAGGCAAACTCTAATTAACTTTCCGCAATTTCAGAATCTTTCCCCCTAGACCAGTACTTTCGAGAACATTCTGGCATGTTATGTAATCGCTAGCATAAATGTAGAGTTCGCGTCATTTTTCGTCAGACTGCTGCCTGCCATCGCTGCTATAAGACCTTGCGTTGCTCTGTCCCTTCTTCTTTCCTTTGTTAGAATAGTTATGACTTCGAAAGCTTAAATTTAACCTTATTTTAATTTAAATCATTATTGGATATGTTATTTAGGAGAATCTAAAATAACAGTGATCTGGCCATTTGCATTGAATAAAGCTGTGGAATCAAAGCAGCTAATTTCTTCTGTGTCGCGATTCTTCTGTAAGCCACTCAGCCATGTCCGGATTTTGATGCCAAGCTTCATTCATATGCCCGACTGCCAAAATATCACACGCATATATATAATATTTTTGAAGCATAGAAGAGGAATCAGCTTGCAGTGGTTGTGGCTTATGGTGAAGTCTTGCAGATGAAGATAACAAAAGTGAACTTGACGAATTCAGTCTGTATTTCCACGCTTATAAAATCATCTCAGTAGATATTTATCTAATCATAATGAAATAGTATAATAAATTGCTATGTACATCGGTTTCTTAAAATTAAGACGCAGGCATTTTTCAGAAACAAAGCGAGGAGACATTGGCAAGGTAGGAAGTAGCAGAATAATGACGTAATTAAAGCTCGCCAGAGATATTTATACCAAAGTAGGTGCGATTCTAGAAACAAGCTATGATTGGTTAATATTAGTTTTAGTTGCCCTGTTCCAGTAGCGTTACATAACATAGAAAAATTTCGAATTTGGGAGAACAGATGAATTTAGAGGGGAGAGCAGCAAACCTAGAAAGTCAATTTTGAGATCGCCAATTATTTTTAAAGCAGCTATCGTATTTTGTTATATCTTACACACACACATATATATATATGTTTGTGTGTATAAAATATATATATATATATATATATATATATATATATAAATATATATAATATATATATATAAGCATCAGCTAAATTCTTTTAGTTTTGAGTAATTATCCGAAAGAAAGTTTTAAAGATATTTTAAAAAACTGTTCTCAATTTTCCTCTACACGTCATTAAACATTTTTGGCGGAATCACAGTTGCTGTTTCTGTGGTGATTTGATATTTTAGTTCTGCGATGCTGAGAATCACTGCAGCATAAACTCAATTATTCAGGTATCCCCAGAAACGATGTGATTTAACCTCCAAGGAAAGGGATGAGCATGAAAGTGTGCCCTTCTAACAATCCAACGATCTAGGAATGTTTCATAAAGGAATACGTATATGTGTAGCAGAATGTCGGAGTGTCGCAACCTTTTAGAAAAAGAAAAATGTTTGGCTGCATTTCTTCTAATTGCGGTACTGAAACGATCTTAACATATCTAAGTAATCATCCTAAAAATTGATGACTTCGATAAAAGAAAGGACCGATCACTTTGTTATGAGTTAGCCCGCATGAAGCTACCTCGCTCAGTTTTCCTTGCTAATTCTCAAAATTTTCTGAAAACCAAATCTTGCAGTTATGTTGATTAACCTCTCTTCAAGCATGAAGTGTTGCTTCATTACTGAATGCGATGTTATGAAGAAAATGATCACTTTTACTCATATGCTATACTCATATCTACATAAAATTCCCTAGGAAGGGCTCGATCACTGGATTTGATTTGCTGACAAACCTGCAATTTATCCGCTGTCAATTTCAACCTTTCATAAATAAATTTATGAAGAGTCGACCTGGGAATTTCTCTTTTCAGCGTGGCACTGGGGAAGGCTTTACTGAGATTGCATGCAAACACATCTCGACTGACAGAAGCATTTTCGTCACTGACGCTTGGTTTACCAGCAGCTCCTTTATGCAAAACATGTCTGGTCCTTTATATAAAACATGTCTTATCCTTTGTGCAAAAATATGTTCGGTCACTCGAAACTGTTTTAATAATTTTTTTATTGACTGTTTCATTGGTAGACGCTTATTAAGTTCATGTCGAAATCGCCTGTGAACTGGTTTCTGAGATTTTGTTTCCCACAGTAAGAAAAGAGCGCGCTTCTTTACCTTCTAAAGCAGGAGCTCCCAACGGTATTGGTGTTGAACTCCTGGATGTCGGATGAAATTTTCAAGGAGGGACCAATGATGATCAAGGGAACGATATCCAAAAATAAAATAAAATACATAAACACGAGAAAAAATACTGAGAAGCATGCCAAGAACGCAAATTACACTGCTGGCCACCCAAATTACAACAGCAAGAAAGACAAGAGCTATCACAACAAAATTTATTTGGTAGATAACATGTTGACCAAGTATCAAATCATGAAATTTATAGACTTCTGTTAAGTGTGGTTCCTTCCAGAATCAGTAGCCAGAGTAGCCGCCATTTTTGGAGATCACCTCTGCCACATGCCTCGGCATTCATTCAAAGAGACTTTGGATGAGACTTGGGATACAGCAGACCAAGCAGATTCCACACGTTGCCGAAGTTGATCTGGTTTGGCAGCTTGAGATATAATCTGGGTCAATCGTTCAGCAACCATGGACCACATGTTTTCTATCGGCGAAAGATCCGGAGAGCGAGCCGGCCAGGGAAGCAGTTCAATCTGGCGATTGACAATGAACCATTGGACAATGCGTGCCAAGTGTGGTCGCGCATTATCTTGTTGAAATATGGCTGTGGGCAAGCCCTGAAGGTAAGGAAGGACAACTGGCTCCAACACCTCGGAGATTTAGCGCTGGCTGTTTAAAGTACCGGCAATGCGTATTAGAGGAGTGCGAAAGTGATATCCAATACCCCCCAGACCATAATACCCGGTGCAGGACCAGTGTGACGGTGCATAACGCAGCTGTTCAGCATCCTCTCTCCACGGTGTCTCCAGACTCGAATTCGATCATCGTAGTGTTGCAGATAGAAGCGTGACTCATCAGTAAAGACAATTTAATTCCATTCTGCCGTCCACATCCTTCTTTCGTTGCACCATTGGTGACGGAGACGTCTGTGGTTCTGCGTCAAGGGTAGACGAAGCAATGGACGACTTGCGGACAGACCACTCTGCTGTAAACGGCGACGAATGGTACTCGCAGACACTGGATGATGCGACAGACTGAATGTGCTGTGCTATGGTTCGTGATGTGACTGAGCGATCCGTCACTGCCATGCGCACAATATTCCTGTCATCACGTGAAGTGGTGTCCTGAGGTGTATGCGATCGAAGACTTCGGTCTGTCGTACCCTCCTGCATCCAACGGTCACATATCCGCATTACAGTTGTTTGGTTTCGTCCAACACGATTACCGATTTCCCTGAAAGATAATCCGCACTCTCGGTAGGCCACTATCCTTCCTCTGTCGAATTCGGATACTTGATCAAACGATGATCGTTGTTTACTACGAGGTATAATTGATCGTGTTTTTGAAAAAAAGGCACAAGAAAAACACAATTGCCGAACTTGAAATCGTCGAAATCTCCAAGCCTTAAATAGCAGTTTGAAGTGGCGCCACAGGCGCGCGTGATGTACTTTTGCGCTGAAATTCTAATCATTTGCATATCCCACCTCCACTAATGCATGTTGTAAATTTCATGTTATTTGCATGCTTCCTTCAGGGTGTTGCATGTACGGTGGCCAGCAGTGTAGTATAATAGAAATTGAATACTTTTGAACGAGATGTTCCCTTAGTAACTTTAGGGATGCTGCATGTTCTCTAGATTTATCTTCTTTCGATTAGTTTTGCATGGAAAATTAAAGGATTCTTTCAAAGGAAAGTTTCCCTTGACATGGAAGAAATAAAAGAGAAATCACAACAGTGTACTCTAAGAGCTGTGTCAAAAACAAACTTCTATGAGCCTTCTATTTAATTACCTGTCGTATTTATATTAAGGAAGTTATATAATATAAACCCTGTGTTTCTATTTTTTTAATGCGCTGTAGGGAATCCTATGTTTATTAATCAATTATTTTGATTTCAGCCTTTACTGTAGCCTCTTCTTTCCCTGTTCCTCACAGTGCAAATTAGTAGTGAGTATTTAAACGTAGGTTTTGGATTTCAAACAGAGAGAGTGTTTCTGGTATCGCTTGCGTACTACGTGGTTAGTTTCCTACCAACTTTAATAATTGTAATTACTAAGCTTTGCAGTTTCTTGCTGCAGATATTTTAAATCTGACGCTTCGGTAGAGTTACTGAGCCAGCTTTTAGTATAGTATTGAACTGCCTAGTCTTT